GTCACACAAAGATTTTACACATGTTCACAAGGTCATTTATACAAGGATATTCATTGCAGCTCTTTTTGTTAAGACCTGGAATTTGGAGACAACAAATATTATAAGCTGTGTCGTGCTCCCTTTGATAGCTGAGCTAGTAGAACAAAGGATTGTAGGAAATCTCCATATAAGCTGTGGCCACAGGAGGAGTACTATGCAGCCATTAAAGTAATTAGGCAGCTCCATCTATATTATAACATAAAAAATCCTCATAATCATTTTAGGTGAAAATATTAGGTGAAGAATTAGGTTAATATATGTGTATGTGTGTAAATACACTCACAGGTACACGTTTACATACACTGTATATAACATTTTCTGTTATGTATACATTTTCTGTTGTTCTGAATGTTAGTTTGTTGCCATGTGTAAGTAATGTTTACTAAAAAATAAATAAGTTGGGGAAATAAAGTAAAATGAAAATAAACTAAAACTGTGAGGAAACTACACGTAGGAATTAATGAAAAGAAGGCAGGAACTAAGGGCCAGAAAGAGAAAGAAATGAAAATTCTAGCTTTTAAAATCAGGGATGGTCTCTTGTGTTCACCAGCGGAATTTCCACCTTCCACGATACAGTGTGTCCCAGCTCTCACGCTTCACAACTGCTCAGGAGCTGCATTTGCCTCTGGACTGCAGTTTCCACCTTTCCACGAACAGCCCTGATTCCTGACTCTGTCTTCTATTCCTCCTCTCAGCTCCCAGGCAGCATCTCTCTCCCTTCTCCCTGAGTTCTCTCTTCAAGGCTTTGGCTGTGGGCTTTCACAGAGCTCTAGGCTCATTCTTTAGCATCTTACATACGTCCTGGGAGGCAGGTTCCATGCAGTTTCATTTGCAGGTGATTCCCAACGCTATACCGCCAACATTTGTGTCTGTTCTGGTATGTTTCTTGTCTTCCTTTTCCTTTTTCCAATGTGCATCCATTCTCTGATTAGCTACAGAGAGTTTGCACCAATTGCTTTATGAGTTAACAACCTTAACCCTCCGATCTTTCCTACTTCCATATTTTATATTCATGTAAGTACAAGCACTGACTTCAAAAATGAATGTCAGGTTCCTCAAAATTAGGACTATTTTTACTTATACACCTCCTTTTCCATCTTTCCTCAGCCAAAGTTAGTGTTCTATACCAGATTATTACTCAATATTATATTTTTATTAATAAACTGTTCTTCATAACAGCAAACCTAGTATATAATTTGGTATACTTGACATACAGGAAATTAATTTATGGGTGATTGATTAGTTTATTCCTCATACAAGCTATTCTGCAATGAATTTAAAACAGTCTACATCGCCAACTATAGAAATGATCCCTGAAAGTATACTACTTGCTTACATGCCTTCTTCCCTTACTGGGCTCAGCTTTTCGAGACAGGGGCCAATATGTTGTTTTTATATTGCTGGAAACTGACTTTTATTAGGAGGAAAACAAAATACATGAGCAGAAGTATTTTGCATAAAGGACTTTAATATTTAGTAAATTAATCATTTTCTAATAAAAGAAATGTTTTGTATTCATATTATAAAATATATCTGCCACTATTGTATCAAAGTAATATCTACAAAAATCATATATGCACCAAATACAAATGTTTTTGTCACTAATCAACGGAATTGTTATTGTTAAGCCTGTGAGGCAGGCTAGAAACTTCAGTTTTTGAGTCTTTTTTGAAGATTTCTCCAATTCTCTAGAGTTGGGTTGAGGTTGAAAGAAGATGAAAGAGTCTTGTATGGCTAAGGATTGCCGTAAGTAATACGGCCTTCAGGTCACCTCTCATGTAAAGGTAAGCTCTGTGAAGAACAGCGTGCCACTGCAGCATGGTCTTTTACGTGACAGCTTCAGTTCCATTCGTGAAACTTTCCATGCAGTTCACCCTTCATATCTTCTGGAAGCCTCACGGGGTTGTGTCCTTGGTAGCAAAACCCTGACCCTCCCCCAGAGCATTGCTAGGAAGCAGAGTGAAGCACTGAGATCTCTGGGACACAATGAATCTCTCAGCCTTTCTCCTGCCCAATCCATTACTGGCTAGCCTCAAAGCAATTCTCCCTTCAAATATCCAGCCAAGACATTTTCCTGTGCTCTCTCATCCACTTTATTTTACAGATTACATAAATCCTTCCCCTTTTATGAGGTTTCGATTTCTAAAACAAAAGCCAAGCTCTTTGCTTCCACTCCACCACATCCATCCCTTGAGATAACAACCCCAAACCAAAGACTTCCTTGAATAAGAGAAAGAAAAAGGAAAAAGAAAATATGACACTTAAAAACTAGGTTACTAGATCAATATATGATCCAACACTTTTCTCCCAGCTCATCCATCATCGATTTCTTCTCTTCCCTTTCAACTTTTCATTGTCATTGTGTTCTCACTTCATACCACCCTTTCCTGGAGAAGCATCAGCTCACACTCGGGTTACAAGCGCTTCTGTGAGTCTCTAATCCATCCTGTCTTCTGACATCCTTTTCTCTACAAAGCATTTACCCTGTCTAATCCTCCATTAGCTGTTGCAGAAGGTGTGAGTTTTGCAAACCTAAAATTTTTGCATACAAGTTTTCTCAGTCTAACTTCCTTTCATCTGATTCTTACCACCCTATCTCATTTCCACAAAGACTAATCCTTTTATCCCTCCTCTCATGCGCCCATTACTTATTGCTGCTACACTAATTTAGCTCACATTGAAACTCTCACTTTGCATAGCCCTCACCATTTTCTTCACTTAGGTAAGATTTATCCAACTTTTAGAATCAGTTCTAGTTTTGCAAACACAGCCAATCTCCTTCCCCTTCCCTTCTATAGAATAATTGCACCTTAGACCGTGTATCACCTAATGTGACCTCTAATAGTTTAATTATTACATTTTTTGAATTATACCTTACCTACTCCACCCATTTCATTCATTCCACCCTGTTAATTCCAAACACTCCTAGAACAAGATGTGTATATTTTTTCTTAACTCTTTCATTGTACCAAGTACAGAACCTGACATGTAACTGACACTCAGTACATGTGTGGTTGGATGACCACGTGGTTTACAAATGTGGCCTTTCACAACCCTGCCTCTTTCTCTCACCCGCAATATTTATATGTGCTTCCTTCTAGCTGATGCCTCTCCTCAGATCAGGGAGCAGTGAATCATTTTATACATCCTCAGAAAAGAACTGTTTTAGCAGAAACACAGGATGAAAGAATAAAAGATAGAACCAATACTCAACTCTTGAGTTTCAAAATAAAGTGTCAAGATCAAATCAGAGACTAAAAAAGCCCAAAAGTCTACAATCTAGAGTACAAAATATACACTTTAAATAAAAGATAATGAAGGAAGAAATGAACTTTTCCATTTAAAAGGAAACATATTTAAAATATCCAGGCTAAGAGAAAAGGGGAAACAGACCAAGAGAATAACAGAAAGTGATGGTTTTTTCAGTCCTTTGGGGGGACTCCAGCCTTTCCTGTTCCTACTTAGCTTCAAAAGAGAGTAAAGAGAATTCCACTAAGTTTGAGAATCAAGTACTTGTTTTGCTTCCCACCTACTGCCTTGGGAAAAACCAGGATCCAAAAAAGCAGTAGCATGAGAGAACAGAGACAGTTTCATGTATGTTTTGGGGAACTATGCAGCATAGGAAGCATGGAGGTTAACCTGAGATGACAAACTTATCTTCACTTCTAAAAAACAAGACAGATAGAAGAGGTAGAAAAGAAAGTGCACTGCAAAGTGAGCAGATGAAACTTCTGCCTCTACATAGGTGGTTCAAAATGAAGTATGCATTTTAACAAGATAAAGTTACACTGTACATTCATATATATTGCTTGAGAAACATCATGCTTACCGGATTTATTAATTCTTAGTTGATAAATTTATAATAAAATCGCAAAAGTTTAAACCAAATTCAAACCTGAAGACACAATTTTTAAACAGCACCAAGTCCATGAACCAGGCATGGTGGCACACACCTGTAATCCCAGCACCTTAGAAACTGAGGCAGGAGGATCACCATGAGTTCGAGGCTAGCCTGGGCCACATAGCAAATTCAGGGCCAGCCTGAACGACAAAGCAAGACCCTGCCTCAAATAAATAAACAAATAAATAGTACCAAGTCCATTTTGAGAAATCTATTAAAATAGTAATAAAATCTAAATAGTAATATAATCTAATGGATAAAAAACTTCTCAGAGGGTCAGGGATTTAGCTCAGCAGTTTGGTGGCCTGCCTTGCAAGCACAAGGACCCGAGTTCAATCCCCGGTACCAAAAAAAAAAAACTTCTCAGAAAAAAGTATAATGCTAGTAAAGTTGATTTTAATACCTATAAGTATAACCTTTAGATAATGAAGAGAAATCGTGCCTGATAATATAATATTAATGCTGGAGTATGATAAGAGCATAATATACTAGGATTATAAGGTCCTTTTTTCTTACACATCTAAGATGCACAGAAAATCAAAAACGATGAGATGATTTTAAGACCATACAAAAATTGACCATCTTGAATTATTTTACAAGGCTATCAATTGCCAACATTAACAAAGCCAGAAAAGCAAAACTTTTATCTATGTCATCTTAGAGTATAATATAGGAAATCATATAATAGCTTTATAAGACCACCAAGCTATTGAAAAAAAATGTAGAGTGTTGCAAACATTTCAACTCAGTAGAACGTACTGAACTTATCTCTGAAATAAACCATTTGTCTTTATCCAAATTTCTCTCCTAATATTTTTAGCAGCATTCTGTCAACCCAAAACACTAAAACCATAGTGAGGGGAAAATACTGGTCATTTGTTTCCTTTTTACAGCCCATGAGTTATTAATCAGGAGCACCGTTGTATGTTTAACAGCTTATCTCAGTGACAGTACTCCAGTTGCATCCTCACTGCCAGGATATATTTTTCACTTTTGATTTATAGTTTGGCTGGCAAGCATATCATTAATTTTACATCGCTAGATGTAAACAATAACTTACCCAACTTATCAGCTTCCCTATTCTTCTGAGTAAACACAGATCATGCCTGCAGAGGAAATATTCAATGGAAAGTGCTAAATAGTAGTGGGAAAACATTGCATATGTTAAAATTAAGAACCTAGATTCATATTCACATCAACAATTAATGTTACAAGACTGGTTGTGGTACATTTTTATTTCAAGCATTTTTGAGACATCATCAGTCTCATTAAATAATGTAAAGCAGAAATTTAGATCATGATTTAAAATATCAATTTTAATTCATTAAATAAGGAAACCTAAAAGGGTTCTCCTGAATGTAGACTAATGGTCAATGGACATTGTGATGGAGGTGGGTGTAAATAGAGGCTGAAATTGACCAGTCTCTGCTATAGGTGTGTACAGAAATATTATACTGAACCTCCTTAATATGTACAATTCATACATGTTAATCAAAAAGGAAAAATAAGCTCTTATACCATCATCTTTGAAAAATGGGTATTCCTTGAGAGCACTTTCTCTGAAAGAGATGGAAGGAAATTATTTCATCTTGTTTGACGTTCTAAATGGTAGCCGGAAGACTGTAGACGTTTCATCTGTATTAGATGTAGCACTGGAAATGCTGCCCTCTTCAGATCTTTTTCACTCAACCAATATCTACAGCTAAGTGTTCCCACAGCCCAGCTCAGGAATAGCTGTCTCTGCTAGTGAAAAGGGGAATTTATCACAAAAGGAACTGTAAAACTTCTGAGGCCTCAATGAAATGAAGTGGTAGGAAGAGACAGCTGGCCTGGAAGTGGTTCTTGAATCAAGAAGGACCTGAATTTAAAGCTGTATTAGAGGGAGTTTATTAATACTAGGACATTCTTTGTGACTTAGGCTTTAGTATCCTGGTAAAAAGCCCAGGATCGAGTTCTGATATTCTTCTAGGGAAGATCTTGATCTTGAAAGCTTAAAAAAAGTGATGACCTCCTATCAAATAAATTGGAGATGTTAGTATTCCTTTGGTAGAGCACTGAGGATAGGGAGTAAATGTTCCAGAGAAGTGAACGCATGAAAAGAGTCTATTACACAAGACTTGAGAACCCCCAGTTGACTTTATTTGGGAGAAGTTGCAGAACATTTCATTAACTGTGGTGATAAAGCATGCACTGTGCAAAGGTACATCATTCTTGTGAAGCTTCTCAGCTATGGTCTTTTGTGGGCCAAGGCTAATGGCAAGCAATGCCATGCTGGGACTTGGATCCCTGGTATCAATGGGAATGAAAGGCTCTACAGTAGCCAAGGTAGATGGCAGCACTTAATTGTCAGAAGCAATCTGCATGGAATATTATTGTTGGCAACAAGTTTGAAGTGACATCCAGGACACGCAAATCCACAGTAAATTATAAGGATGGCCCCAAGGCTATGGTTCCTAACAGCAAGGGAGTCAACAAGGGAATGGAAGAAGTCCAGAAAGGAAGGTGAGGGAGAAGGAGACAGACAGAGAGAAGAAATACAAATGTATATTTATATAAAGGGTATAAAAATAGATGAGCAGAAGGATATCAGCCATCCCTAATGAAACCAGTGAAAAGCTTTCTATACCCAGTTCACAGATAAGAACTAAGAAAGGCCACATATCTCAGGGAAAGACTTTAGAACAGCACAATAAGGGAGGCACTAAGTCCTCAGTCCTTACCCACAGTGACCTAGGGTCATTTATCACGTAGCATTGTGTTGAGGAAAAGAAGCCAGGTTTTTCCAAAGGCTATTAAGTTCAAGATCAAGACTAATTCTAAGACACCACAAAAATGCCATCATACCTCCACTGTTAGGAACACATACGGATTAGGTGACAAATGCTGATCTGACTCTCGGTTACGTCATAGGGGATCCTCTGGATCCAGATCCACCAAGTGATCATTTTCCTTGTTTCTTAAGGTATAATCATAATGAACAGCAAAATCTTCACATTGTTTCCTTGATGTGCAGAGTAGTTGCTATTGTCAAGAGAAAGATAAAGCAGTAGTGCCTCAAACTTCATCCCAGACAAGATAGAATAGAGAATACAGAATTCTATTCAGGGCAACCTCAGAGTTAAAAGAGGAAGGAGCAGTGTTCCCCATTCATTTCCCATTTGGTGCACCAGTGTGGCCATAAGAAAACAGATTGACCATGGCAGATGACAGCAGTTTTGTAGATCTAAACTTTCTGGTTCTCACATGAGGGATGCTTTCACCAAGGCACCACTTAAGGTCCTCAGTAGAGTAAAAATTTAAACTTCCAAAATGATTAGGCCCCTTATACAGTAGTCAGACAGCCAGGGAAAAAGGTGTTATCATACTGGTCAGGTAAATGACTGTGATCATAAGGAGGTAGAGTTGCTACATAGTTAAGGAAGAGGGGAATACGTTTGGCACTATGTGGGTCCATTACAGTACCTGTCAGAATTCCAATGCTCAACAATAAATGTGAATGAGCAATTAGAAGAATCATGTTATTATAAAGACATGGCTGGTAGTTAGCGGGTCTGAGCTTGGTTAAACCACTAGAATAACAGAAGTTCTACCCAAATGAGAAAAATCTAGAATAAGTAATAAAGGAGAGATAAATATTGGTTATAAATTCAGCACCAGAAACTATAGATATCATGTAAATCTTCCTCCAGAGTAGTCATGCCCATCTAAAATATAGAAAAGGCCATTATAAGATTGATTTTAAGTTGGGAAATAAGTGAATATGAGGAAGCATTTTCTTCTCAAACAAACATAAGCATATGAAAGCATAACAAGCTATGGGCTAAAGGAAGCCTCAATAAATTCCAATGGATCAATACTGAACATTCTTCTACCCTAATAGAAGAAAATTAAATATTGGGAAACAATATGGTTTTAAAATAAGTTCAACTCAGTAAATTGGAAATGTAGTAACCAGATTAAAAAAAAAATCAACCACACACAGGTGTAAAAGATCAAGAAATACAGAAGACTGCCAGGGATTTAGCTCAGTGATTCTGCTGCCTTCCTTGCAAGCTGAAGGACCTGAGTTCAACCCCTTGTACCAAAAAGAAAAAAAATACAGAAGATGATAATTTGGAAAACATCTTAAGTTACATAAATGTCTGATAAGATTGATAATAATGAAAGGGAATATAATACAACCAAAACAAGCGAAAAAGAAACTGTAGGCATAAAATTTTTAAATTAAAAAACAATTTTTAGATTAGCTATATGCTGATCAGATTTTAAACTGAAGAAATGTATGTTTGTAAAGAATATATTATGTCATGTTAGTACAAACCAGAATTGAAAACTTGTATAAAAGAATATATACTAAAGAAATTTCAATGGCAGTCAAGATGGTCATTAAAATTACAGGTTTTTTTCTTCTGCTCTAAAATTAATAACTTTCATTTATTTAATTTCCTTTCATCATGTCTAGCACTTTCAATATCCTTTTAAAAAAACATCAAAATAATGGAAGTTTTCTTGTCTATCTTAAAGGTAATGCATCTAAACTCTCTCTATTAAACATAATGTTTGCCAACACTTTTAGTAAATTACCTTTATCAAATCCAGGAAGTTTGTTTTTTCTGTCACTAATAATTTTTAATCATTAGTGTGTTCAGAGCTTTCTCAAATTCTTTTCCATATAAAACTGAAATTACTGTACATGTTTTTCCTTAATCATTTACTCTGGTGAATTTTTCCCTTGTATTTTTTTCATACTAAAGCATGCTCGCATTACTGGGATAAACCCTATCTGATTATGATGCACTTTCCTATAATTTATTGTCAATGCGTTCAATATTATTTATGTACTCAAATAATACATTCAATAAGAGGGTCACCCTCTTATAAGACTGTATATAATTGACAGCGTTTTAGAATTAATAAGAGATCTCAGAAAGGTTATCAAATGCAAGATCAACCTTCTCCATATTATGATCTCTCCCATAGGTGTCAGGTGGCACTGGAGTGTGGAAAGGGCAAGGGGAACTGATTCACTCAGCCTGCGGTGGGTGGAGTGCGCTGAGTTCATGGTCACTTACAGATAAAGTGCACTTATTGCTACTCTTCACAAAATATGAGTGACTTCCAGAAATATGACTATAATACACTGTTAATCCACCTTTCATTATGACACCAAAGGGTAGCAGACTATCCTACATTTCCCAGAAGGCAATTTGTGCATAAAGGAAGGAGGATACAATCTTAAATGTACAGAGCCAAAATTAGCCTGAGGAGAATTATTCCAATCATCAAACATATACAATTGTAAGCAATGGGTTCAAACCCACAAATTCCTAGTGGAAACAGGAATATTCCTCTATCAGGAATGTAGGTGATAATGTAGTTAATAAATCGCCAAACATTTTCCCCTTCTTTGAGTCTTGTGAAAGAGAATTTATCAGAGTTTCTGGATTTTAGGGCAGAAAACCCTTAGCTTTACCACTAACTATAAATACATCTGTGTATAGTTTTGTATGTTCTTCTCATTTCAATTAGCAGTAAAAGAGTATTTTTATTAGCCATGTAAGAGACTTAATTACCTCCCATCCCTACATGCGGAATTTTTTTTAATTTCCTTGAAGAGATGATTAAAAACACAGAAACCTTTAATTTCCACTTTGGCACATAAGACAAAATTGCAACAACATGGAAATGGATGACTTTTCTTGGACCCATCAGAGAACTGAGGTCACAATACTAGCCAACACCCAAGTCTGGAGAAGCCGGAGAATACAAATAAACGTGGCTGAGATCAATTTAACTGAGCAGAAAGGAATGGAATCATAAACTGTTAAGACTTGCATGGCCAATTTGACAGATTTCTGGAAATTGAGTGTAGGCTTCCTTAAGAGTAAGAAACTGGTAGACGCAGAAATTTTATGAGCTCTCAGATTTTCATGAGCTTTACCTCCAGGAATGCCACCAAGTCTCACATTGAAGAGTCAAGAAAAATGACCTCACATCTTTGGCAAGAATCATCCTGAGATGTGCCTATTGCATTCACTGTACTGCACAGTGAAAAAGAGTTTACCAGACTTAAAGGCAAAGGGAATTCTCTAGCTCTACTCCTGTC